GAACCCTGGCCTCTTTGAATATACCCTATCTGCAGCCAGTTGGCCACATTTGGACCATGCAATCCCTGGACATTATGAACTCTGGCCCATTCAAGGCACTGGCCGTTTTGACACTGGGCATAGCGTACCCTGGACATTATGAACCCTGGCCAGAATGAATGCTCCCCGCGGCCGGCGCCTGGGTCGTCGCCGGGTGGTGGCGCCTCGGAGTCGCCGCGGCGAGAGGGTCTGGGAGACCCCAGCGGTCCCCCGGCAGCGCTGGCATCCGAGCCTGAGGCCGCACCAGTCGGGCCCAGTCCCAGTGCTGATCCCACCACTAGCATGGACCAATGAGGTACCTACTCTGAGCGACGGGAGTGATCCGGCCCAACGGTAGGTGACATTTATTTCCACTCCTCCGGGCGTCTCGAAGTGAGTTTGCTCCGGCAGCTCGGCTAAGTGGTCGGGAGGGACGGAGGGGTATAATAAGAGAATTGTACTGAACCTGGGAGGAGGTTTTCTTAGTGTTTGCTTAGTGTTTGCTTAGTGTTAGTGTTTTCTTAATGTTTGCTGTCGTCGGGCGTTTTTTTATTGTGTATGGCTAAGTGTATGTTAACCACTCGAGTCATGATATGATAATTTATATGTTAGCTGGGCCTGCACCACTCGAGCTGGTCGCGAGCGATTAGCGACGCTGATTTAAACCGCACGCTTCTATGAATATCTAATAGATATCGTGCTATATATGTGCTATATATATATGTGCTAGCGTACTGCCAAAGCTGGCTGAAAACGGTATTCAGGACATAATACAGCATTCGTACACTGCTCCCTTTTCTCTCGTGTTGTTTTGTTTTTGTCCCGTGATCTTCTTTTCTTTTTTTTTTCATTGATTTCACTAGAACTTCACACTTGTCGCCCGGGGCGCGCTCGCCGCGAGTAGCCGCGAACCACCCGGGTGCTCGGAGAGTCCGGTTCTCCGAATCGATATGTCATTGATAACACACACACGCACACACACACGCACCTACACACACACACGCACACACACACGCACATACACACGCACACGCACACAAGCACGCACACACACACACACTCACCTGCTCACTCACCAAACACACACGTACACAGACCAGGCGCGTTGCAGATTTTCTGATTTGCAACGCGCCTGGTACAGAGGAGGAGATTGTCACACAAACACTACATACACATATGCACCTACACCGTCGGCATACATTCACATTCACCTATGCATAAACATAAACGCCAACTCTCTCTCTCTCACACACACCCACACACATACATACACGCACACGCATGCACACGCACACACCAACACACACACACACACACACACACACACACACACACACACACACACACACACACACACACACACACACACACACACACACACACACACACACACACACACACACACACACACACACACACACACACACACACCTACACACACATACACAACTTACGCATAGGTCTACATGTTATTTATTGATGTAGTCTTTGCGTATATTTTGTTTCCTGCTTTTTCGTACAATGCTGTTTTAGCTGATAAGGTCATCGTGGATTCTTGCAACGAACATTGTGCGTCATGTGTCATGATAACCGTTCAATAAACTAGCCCTTAAGTGGGAACAACCGAAAAAAGTACGGGTCAAGGTCAGGTCAGGTCACGAAAGGTCACGGTTTTCACTTTCTGCTACATGGGCGTGCGACACATGTTTTATGGCTTATTTTTCACGCCAAATCCGATGGTAATGGTTATATGTGACCCCAAGTCACTGTGCTGGGGATAAGTGTGCATTGAAAGCATAATAAATCGTTTATACCATACGCATACGTAACTAAACGAGGGCCAAGAAAAAAAAAACAATTTTTCAACTTTTTATTTTTTACTTAAAAATGCAGTTTTCTAGACGAGCTTTGTCCCAGGAATCTAGTGGTGCCATTTGTTTTCACATGCGATGTTCAGAAGTGCCTTTATTCACGAAAATGCTTATGACGTCACCATGTCCTATGCATGTTGGAACAATTTTTTTTACAATTTGGGGGTCAAAAATCAAGATAGAAAGTTGAAATTTGTGACGTCCTATGTTCTAATAGAGCTCTATAACATATATTCCGGTTTTTTGAAAATTCCTAAAATTTTGGATTTTATTAGCTGTTTTCCAAAAAATATAGTTTCTTGAATTTTTAGGGGTGAAAAACGCATTTTATGGAAAATCCGAGATATCCATTTAAAGAACTCGTTGAGCGGCGTCTATTCATGTCCTTAATTTGCAATTTGCTTTAAACCTCGATTTTTGGCGATTTTTTTAAACATTTACCACTTTTTGACTGAAAACGCCATGTAGTTGCATCACTAAAATCGGTATATCTAAAAAAAATGGGAAAAAATCTTAAAAATTGCACAGAAGACGTCAGATTGATGGGGGAGAAGGTATGCCAAGTTTCAGGTAGATAGCGTAAGCGGTTCATGAGTTATTCAAGAAAAACGGAGGGGGGTCGGATCCGACCCCCCCCCCCATTTAACGACATTTAACCTGCGCACCGACGGGGGTCTGCGCCAACTTCGCACCGACGGGGGGGGGGGCGGATGACCGCCCCCCCCTGAGATCTCGAGAACGAAGCAAGATAGCGACAAGCGGTAAACGGCATCGGATACGCACGGACAAGGTCTACAATTTTTACAAAGGTCATTTTCAGGTCAGGTCAAAGATGACGTCACAGGGGTCGAAAAAGTCAAAATGGCGGCGCTAGATATGGAGAGAGTTTTTCTCGAATAACTTTCGAATTAGTCAAGACAGGAACAAACTGAGGGCATCATCGTGATCCTCTCGTCAATCCGCATCGAATGATATATATGTTGACCTCGAAAGGTCAAGGTCAAAGGTTGACCTCAGGTCACGTGACCTCGAGGTCATCATGTATATCATTCGATGCGTCTTGACGAGCTGAACACAATGAGGCCATCCGCGCGGCTGTATCTTGTTCCTGTACGGAGTTATTGGCAAAAAAAACTTTGGTGACCTTTGATGACGTCACATGACCTCACAGCTGCCCAACAGCAAAACAGACCTCAAGGTAGTGAAGGTTGATCGTATATGAAGTCATATATGGTATATGGGGCCATTCCGACCCGTTTTAGTGGTAAAAACAGGGAGTTGATTTTCCCCCTTTGACTTAAAATGGGGAGGTCGCGAAATTGACCTGACCTTAGGTCACCGATATCAAAATTCCGAGATATACAAATTGTAGCTACTAATGACCTAATAACATCCTGCGACTTTCAAAGGCCTCCGACATCTACTGTAGCTCTGGCACGGTGACAAAGTTGCAAAAAAGTGACTTGAGGTTGGATCATTCAAAGTGACCTGGTGACCTGACCTTAAAAGTTAGGAGGTTCAAACTTGCATACCATGTGTAAAATTGATGAGAGAATAGTCGTACCAAATTTCGCTCCACGAAAAACCTCAGGGGGGGGGGCGGATATCCGCCCCCCCCCCCCGTCGGTGCGCGGGTTAATACCAGAGGCACGACAAGGTCGGCGACATTTGATACCAGAGGCACGACAAGGTCAGCGACATTTAATACCAGAGGCACGACAAGGTCGGCGACATTTGATACCAGAGCCACGACAAGGTCGGCGACATTTGATACCAGAGGCACGACAAGGTCGGCAACAGACGCCCCTCAGTAAAAATTCGTCTCAGTCTTTTCGCTATTGCCGCCCCCCAGCAGTGACATTTTCTGCCCTGACTTGGGGGGCCAAGTCGGTGACTGCGTGGATTTGCCTCCCCCCACCAGTTAACATGCTAGGCAAGTCACTGAGTTTTGGTGCCTATGTAGCATCTTACGAAGCTGTCGTTGGTGGTTGGTATCTACTATGGATAGTCGACAGGACGCGTACTGGTTGACCTGACCTGACAAGGCCCGACCTACCCCAAATACATTAATGCATCATCTTCGATCAAACTAACATGAACTTCGTAATGAGCACCCCGAGAACCTCATGGCAAAATCCCTTTGCAAAGTGCTTGTAGGTCCCAAGTTATCCCGATTCTTGGGTCGTTGACCCGACCTGGAAAGTCAACCAATAATCTAGGACGTTGGGTGTCATCGGCTTCTTCTCGTCACGGGTACGGGGTAACACTCGTTTTTTTTCCGTGCAGCTCTAGCTCAGCTCAATCCGGGGTCAAACAGCGGGGCGGGGATCCGGACAACTCCTCCCTCCCCCTCCCCCTCCTCCCCCTCTGCGCAGGGGCGTTGTTTTGTATAGGCCTGGGAGTGCCCGAGCACTACCAATGTGTTGTTGAGCACTACCAACATTTTTCTTCACTTATTGAGAAAATTGCATTCAAACATGTCATACAAATAAAATGAATGAGGTTCTTATGTATAAAATCAACATGATAGCAAGTAACTTCAATGGTAAGTGGTAACTATTGATGAAAATCTATAGACTTACTCCACAAGTAGATTGAATTTGAATTGGTTGACCAATTCAATCTTCTTGTAGCGTACCTATGTCCATAAATTTCCATCAATACCTAGGTATCATTTTCACTTTCCACATCATGTCATTACGTCAAGTAATTTCAAGTTATGTGGTACCTACCTACCTACCTACCTACCAAGTTTCACAACTCTGCGTAAGCCGCTGTGTAAACGCCAGTACGGACAAACATTTTAGTTAAAGTGATATAGGGACGGGGGAAGGATTTACAATGTGCGAATGTTGTGATTGTTGTAAAAGCATGGTTTATACCCGTTTACCGTACCACGTTGTTTTTGTATCATGACATGGGCACGAAAAAGCTGCTACTGTGTTTGTAGAGCGTCGATGATCTGAACTGCCCCTCTGGCCTGACCTTCTCTAACATGAACCGCTCCGACCTGGACCGCTCCGACCTGGACGGCGGTCCGACCAGGCCCATCGGGCCTGCAGTGGCCGGCGGCGCTGACCGCTGACCGCTGACCGGCGCGGCGGCCGGCAGGTTTCGGCCGGGAGCTGTTCGCGCCTGACCTGGACAGGATCGAGACCAACCTGGAGATGGCCATGGAGCGGATACCGTGCTTTGGTCAGGCGAGCATCCAGAGCGTGGTGAACGGGCCCATTACGTACTCGCCGGACGTGCTGCCCATGGTGGGGCCCACCCTGCTGCCCAACATGTGGGTCGCCGTCGGATTCGGGTAAGTCGGCTGCCGGGCTCACCGCCGCCGGCTGACGCAGCCAGCGTCCAACGGAGCCCGTGCCAGTCTGGTATTTTTAACCCTCGCCCGACCAGAGGGAGGTTGATGGCGATACCTCTTCAGGTTTTTCGTGAATAGCGTAAAACGGCGGAGCGTAGCCCTGCCAAATTTGACATATCCTCTAGGGCAACCTTTTGGCACCTTCCATGACAATTTCAGGTCTCAGTCGTTTCAGGTCAGGTCATTAGATCACAAAACCTGGTACAAGGTCAAGGTAAAATTGAACTTTAAAATTGAATTTGAGCGGCAACGGAATTACAAAAGCCTTTCGCTAACCCGCGAGTTGCTGAAGAGGAGGGCGTTAACCCACCATTGACTGAGAGGGATGGGCGTTTAGCCGCCATTGATTGAGAGGGATGGTCGTTTAGCCGCCATTGACTGAGAAGGATGAGCGTTTATCCCCCGCCGACTTTTTGCGACAATTGTAACGAATCTGTGACAGATATAAAATGACGATAACAACTCGGGTTTATTGTAAGAGACGAGGCTTTCGATGCATACAGTATCTTGCTCACTGTCAGGGAGATGAAGAATACGGCGAAATATCAATCACAGATGCCAAAAACCGACTGCATTTCCTTTCCTAACATGTGACATTTACCCTATGACACTCCCACCAGCCCCCGTTCACGAGTCTCAGAACTCCTTTACCGTGACGTCACGCGGGCGGCAAAAATCCCTTCACCCCATGAGGATCTATACAAATGATGCCGAGTTATGAGCTGGACTGACGCCTAAGTTGAGGACTAAAATATTATATAAAGCATATCATTTGACTCAGTGAGACTTGATTTATCCAAAAACCGGGCCTCAATCGGTCGAATTCGAATGAACTAAGCATAAATTTTGCCTTTTAGATGAGGCCTGTAAATTTCGATGAAGGTTTTTATCGTGAAGGAAAAAAATAGTGCTACCAAATGCGCCTGGCGCCGCTTTTACAAAAGCCAAATACTAACGTCATTTTCTATTAATAATATGTAAATTCATGATTATTTTGGCCAAATCGAGTTGCGAACATTCACTTAAGGGCGACTTACCGTTACATATCCGTATACACATATGCGTCCTTATGGAAATTGGTTGTGTGGCGACTGGCGACGCGCGCGATATCTGTGCGGCACCTCACAGTGATGCAAATGGGGTTCACGAGTGGCCATAAATACCAAAAAGTCAAGTTTACCAAACCGAACCACCCTTGTGGCACAGTTGGCAGGTGCGTTCAAGTTTGGTGTGGGAGGTCCTTGGATCAAAGCTGACCTCTGGCAGCCTTTTCCTCGGCCGGCTCCTACCCAGGAGATGGCAGTAACTGGGGAGTCTTCGCTCGGTCGTGGGGATTAACGCTGTGCCAACCAGCGCCCCCGGCCGCAGGTACACGGGCCTGATCCGCCTTTAAACAGATCCTTCGGTCCGGTGACATGCGCCGAGGGCACAGCCTCGCTTCATGTCCCGAAGCAGCCCTCTGACCTGCCGGGCCCGAGAAATCGGGATAGCCCCAGCGTGCGCACCAGTGCGGTGCCATCTGGGGCACGCAGTGGCGTATCTAGGATTTCTCTCAGGGGGATCCGCAGTCAAAAGGGGCCTTGACTGACTGGGTTGAAAGGGCCCTTAAGTGGCAAAAGGGCCCTTGAAGCCTGAGTTGAAAGGGCGTTAGCCCGCGTCCCGTATGGGGGGGGGGGGGGCGAAACGGCCCCCTGTCCTCTTCCGTAGCTATCTCCTAAATGACTGCAGATATCGCCACCAAACTTTCAGGACCTCTCCGGGCATCCATTTTACACATTGTGACCTTTTTCCAGAGGCTATGATAGGTTGGCCGCAAATACGTCAGAATGACGTCATGTTCTGCCATTTTCGACCCAAAAAAGGTTTCGCAGGAAGAACTATCAGGCCTACAGAGCTGTAGAAACATGAAAATGTTCCGATATAAAAAGTGTAGAATTAACAGGCTTACGTCAAATCTGAGCACAGTTTACAGAAAGAGCGTTAAAAGAGCTTTGTTTGTTTTGTTGGGTTGGACCCAGGCCCTTTCGGCTTTCGGTCTGACGAGACCATTTCAGGGCCGGAGGATGATAGGAATTGAGGGAGACATTGGTCTGGGCGGGCACCTTGGTGAGTCACTGGGGCTGAGCCTGTCCAACAGGACAGGCAGACCAGCCTCCCAAGTGCTCACTGCACCCGGTTACGAGTGTGCTTCCTTAGGAGCTGCAGTGCGCTCCAATGGGAGCCGCCCGCATGGAATAAAGTTGCCCGTCCAGGTCCAGTCCGGATCAGGGGTTGCGGCATGGAGGAGAAGGATTTGAATGTCCTGAGGATGGAAACGGCGAAAGGGGTGTTAAAAGAGCTATTAGCTACGCTTTTCCCCGGTACTGTAGCTCTATTCATTTCCGAATCATGCGGTGGTTTGTTGAAAATTGTCGAAACTGGACCTGAAAATTGGCGAAATTTAACCTTGGATGACCTATGTAAACTGAATTTTGAACTGATCTAAAAAGTGACAGGCGTAATTTCGTCATTATTGTTTGCTTGCGTCCCTTCGAACACTGCCTTAGGCGTGTTGGTACGTGGCTCAGAAGCCGAGTTATAGATGCAGGGGTGCGGAGCCGGAGCTGGAGCCGGAGGAGCCGCCGGTGCCGGCATATTTTGCCTGGAGGCTGGAGCCGGAGCCGGAGCCGGAGCCGTGAAACAATATAGCCCGGAGCCGGAGCCGGAGCGGTAAAAAAGGCGGCGACTCCGGCTGTTTTTTTTTTTTTGAAGAGGAAAACATTATTGACCTAGTTCGGTTTCACAGTACCTACAAGGCAGTAAAATATGTGGTATTCAAAATAGCCTTATAATAGGATTAAATTGGACTTACTCCACAAGAGAATCGTTTTCGGTCGGAGCTTTCGACATGTATTACATGTCCTCTTCAGCGAAGGTCGGTAATCGGGGCGGAAATAAAACGTTCGGGTCGAATCGAATCGCACAAGATGTCGGTGAGCTGCGCAGAGTTATTTAGGCCGCTTGAATTATAAAATAAGCAAGACTGAAACACGTGACGACAATAAGAGTACACTCAATGAGAAAGTCAATGAGTGACTTTCTCATTGAGTGTACTCTTATTGTCGTCACGTGTTTCAGTCTTGCTTATTTTATAATTCAAGCGGCCTAAATAACTCTGCGCAGCTCAGGGGGCGTCGAAGTCTAGTTCCTACCAACCTGGCACTCCCATGCCTACGTCACCACGAGGACGCCCGAGGGCATTTACATGTTGAAGATAGGGAAATTGCCATAGTTTAGAGCCGCCTGGAGGGCAACCTTGAGATAGATGATAATGTAAATGTGTGCTAATATGATCATCAACATGTTATTTATCCAAATCCAGGGCCAATTAATCGATATCTTGTCACGTTTTCCAGTGGTGATGCGTTAACTTTCGTGGTTCTTGCAGGCAATAAGGGTGTTTGATAGTGCGATTCAGCCGCATTATCGACTTTAATGCCATAAACCGCCACGGAACATATGATTTGCAGCTCCCTGGCGTGATAGCTGCCAGTAGGGCTCCGGAGTCGGAGTCATGAAGTCGGTCGGAGTTGACAGTTCTGACCTGAGTCGTCGAGTCGGAGTCAGAGTCGATTTTATAAGCTGGAGTCTGAGTCAGTCACCGAAATTCGATCCCCTCCGCAGACCTTTCAGGGTTCCGTAGTCGGAGTTGTAGTCGGTCGGAGTCGACAGTTCTGACCAGAGTCAGAGTCAGAGTCGATTTTGAAAGCCAGAGTCGGAGTCGGAGTCACCAAAAATTCATTGCCTCTGCAGACCTGCTAGGGCTGTGGAGTCGGAGTTGGTCAGAGCCGACATTTGAAATCAAAGTCAGAGTTTATTTTTGAAAGTCTGAGTCAGAGTCGGAGTCATCAAGAAATCCATGGACGATCCGCAGTACCATGCAGTAAGGGCGCTGCCGATCGATGCCCTGAATTGCCTATGATTTATGAATTGAATGAATAGATGGCAATTAATTAGGTACCTGCTATTATTCATCCCTTGCCACTTGGAGAACTTACTTTCAGTGGAAAAAGACGCATTATTTGTTTGTTTATTTATTGACAAATATTTTTGAGCAGTTAGGGATACAGACACAAAACACAATGATAGCCACCTCGCTGGTGCAAATCATTGCTAGATAGATGTTGAAATGTGTTGCCATTGAAGAATCTGCTGATTTTCCTGGCGGCTCTCGTTTTCAAGTAACTACTGGTCTTGTAAGATCTCTTGATTGCTCACCGTCTGGCGTATAGTTCCAAGGTTTTCTGAAAGCTAATCAAACGTTATCATGACTGCTCTTGATGGCATGGCGCTTGCTGGTTCTGGGCTCTTCATTGGTGGTTCTTGCGTCTGATCCTGTTGCTTCATGTTCCAGCATATCACATTAATTTTATAATGGAACAGACACTTCTACCTTTTATTTCATTATCAGTCGACTTGCATTTACCCCTGTGGCCTGCTGGCCCTTTTATTTCCACGATAGAATCTACCAATTATTGAAAAAGCTTCGGATAAAAAAGCAAGAAAAGTATGTCAAGTTAAATAATTGCGACGGTCCTAGAAAACCAGAAAAAATATCAAACAGCCTGTCCATCTCACTCCCCTCACTTCATAACAAAAACCACTGAACTCTATAAAAAAAACACAAACCACGCAGCAAAACACGCGAAAGAGTCCTTAGCAACGCCTTAGCAACGCATTTGTCTGAAGTGCGCAATATGTGTCGCATCTGGAAAATTTAGTAGCTACTTGATTATTCAACTAGAATTGGACTATATAAGCTAGGCTTTTATATAAAAAATAAGTGTTTGCTTATCGAATTTATAGCAACTGGTTGCTTAACTTCGAAATAATGATTTATTACAGAAAAAGCTTGTTTGCGACATATTTGTAAAGAAACAACGGAAATAGCTTTGACTCGT